AATTGGGGGGGCAGGTCAGGGCGGGGCTGGGCATTGCCAAGGGCAGGGAGGAGCAGGACAGAGAGGACATGGGTGGCCAGAAGGCTCCGGGGCGCATTGGGCCACGGCCCTTTAAATCAGGGGCAGGGCAGGGTGGGGCTAGGCATTGCCGGGGGCGGGGAGGAGCAGGACGGAGAGGAGACGGGGCAGCCAGCAGGCTCTGGGGTGCCTTGATTCTTCCAGCTGGCTGTGCGCAGCTGCAGCGTTTCCCAGGCCGCGTGGGGCAGAGCTAGGCGTTGCTGGGGGCGGTGCCAGCTGCTTACCTGAAATGCCGCCCCTGGCAAAGTGCCGCCCCAAGCACCTGCCCTATATGCTGGTGCCTAGAGCCGGCCCTGGGTCGGAATAACTTGATAGAAGGGATTTAGAATGTAGGCTGAGTAGTAGGCCTAAGGTGGTAACTTCAGAAGGAGCCATGCCTGCAGAAAAGATGAGTTCTGTGTTCATTCCCTTGTTAAAAAGCCACACTCTTACAACAGTGTCAGGTGGAGCTTTTTTAACAATATAGTGTAAATACTTGGCTTCAGGTGAAGTTAAAGCAGCACTTTAGCGCTTTCTGTGTAAATAGTCTAAAATTACCTTCATTTTGATAGATGTTATGCCTTGACTTGTGTGAAATTTTTAGAAGAGGGTAATTGTCCATGACCAATCTTCTCTTCAAGAAAGGGTATAGTAGATGTAAGTTTATAATGCTTAAAGAACATTCCACCTTCAAGCTAGCTACCCTTACCTTATATTTAAGGGTAGAAAAAAACAAATGTGTATAATTTGACATACTCTTGTCCGGTAATACTGGTAGCAGTTCTGGTAATTGATGTGAGATGATATGCTCCTCTTCTATATTCGCTGCCACAGTGGTACAGTCAGAATTGCAAAACTCTCTTGCTGAGCACTTTCACTTGTCGTCCTCCCATGAGAAGATTGAATGATCATGATGGTCCTTTCTGATGTTAAAGTCTATGAATGGAAATATTTGTGTGGTATTTTTTAATTATTAAAAGGTCTGTACACCATTTTTCCCAGAAACTTTCCAAATTACTAACAGTTGCCCAAATGTTCACTTGCCACATAATGTAAGGCACAGAAGGGGAAAATTTTCCTCCTTCCCATCCACACATTGTTTTCCCTTGATTTTGGTTCTACTCCACAAGAGAGGTGGAAAGTGGCTATTGTTGAGCCTCAATCTTGATGATGTTGAAGCCTTGCATAAAACCATAAAATGCAGCAAAGCTGCTAGAAGTTCTAAATCAGGATTATTGTACAAACAAGGAAGAAACGGGTTTTGTTTATTAATAATTGTTGTTATTTTTATTAATCACTTGGATTTTTTATTTAAAAACATTTGTAGGTAAGATTTCAGATTCTAACAATACAAGTGCCAGGAGAAATAGTAAGAATCTAAATATCAAGATTCAAAATATCCATTCAAAGATGGTAGTCATATTTCTGTAGTGGTAGTAGCTCCTGTATGGAAAATCTTCTAAAAGACTGAGTGTATTCTCCTGGCTTTCAGCCATAAGGACACTAGCCCAGTTTAGATAAGCTGTACTCTGAAAAACCCCATGGTATTATTCCATTTAACAATCTCTTGGGTTTTTTAGGGTAGGCATGAGGTGAGTGGCCTAATGTCTTTTATTAGACCAACTTCTAAAAACAGTCCCATAGCACCTTAGAGACTAACAAATTTATATTCGGTTATGAGCAGAACCTAGGAATCAGGGACCAAGAATGGATCACTTGATGATTACCTGTTCTGTTCATTCCTCCTGAAGCATCTGGCATTGGCCACTGTCAGAAGATAGTATACTGAGCTAGATGAGCTTTTGGTCTGCCCCAGAATGGCCATTGGTATGTTCTATAGATGAGAGAGACCAGCTTTCAAGTTTACACGCCATCTTTACGGAAGGGTTCACAAGGAAATACTGAAACACAGCATAGTCTAGGTTGGCTACACTTTTTAAAAGAAATGCAGGAGACTAATGATGTGTTAAAGTATAATGGGTTAAAAACAATGAAGAAAATCTCTGCATTCCTTCTTAGATTTGCTTTTTTCTCCCCCTTACCAGAACCATCTAAGGGACCAGCTCTGTGGAGAAAGATTGACATGTTTCACTCTCCAAACTTCTGGGCTGTACATCTGATATGGAAGGTAAGTAGGAGTACTACAAATGATTACCTGATTGCACAATAGAAATAGTTTATAGGCACTCTTTAAAATAATTTTTTGGTGTGGAAGGGAAACAATTTATTTAACAAAATTTGAATTTTGTTAATCAGAATAGTCCTGATTTTATAAACACCTATCACATTCTCTAAGTTTATTATATTTTGTAGCAAAAATATTTTTTCATTAATATTTACATGTACATTGAAGTGTGGACAATAAAAATAGCTGTCATCTGTCTTACTACAGGCAGTCCCCGACTTACGCGGATCCGACTTATGTCTGATCCGCACTTACGAACGGGGCTTTCTCGCCCCGGAGGTCGAGGTGGCGGATTGCTGCCTGCGAGCTCCGGGGCGAGAGAGCCCCGTTGGTAAGCTGCTCCTGGTGCCCCATGTCTGATGGGGACCGTCTCCAGCAGACCAGGGGCACC